GCTTATAGGCAGTACTGGTCATTAGTTCATGACCCTCAGCTTCCTTACTTGATCATTCTACCTTTTTAGCGGGTAGGTTCTCCTGATCCCTTGCTAAGGACCCAGCATTCCAATAGTTGAAAACCCTGTACATCTTTTCTCCTATCCTGGTCTTACACCACCAAGGCACCCTTTAATACCTTGGTGGAGGTCACAAGGAGGTACAAGCATAGACAATGTCTGTTCCTTGTTTCTACATCTCCATGATGCCAAGGCCAACAACCCTTGTGAATATAAGTGTTGCAGTGACAACAGATTCAAGGTCTAGAGGCACCATTTGAAAGAATTCCTTCAGGGATATCTGTTCACAACAGCCTGGAGCAGTCAAGGTGAAATTTGGAGTGTGGTGCTCACAGTGAGGTCTGGCTATGTTTTCCAAACATTTTGGCTTCAGAAGATGCTCCACTACACATGAAAGACACCAAGATGCCAGCAGATGAATTCCAGCTCTAGTAGCCAACTGAGAGAAGCCACGGGAAACTGCAGGTAGGTACCCATGTGTAGCAGATGCCAGCCAAAGTACAGAGCTTCCCAAAGTGGGTACAAAAAGGAGTTGTATCCTCTTACAATGGCTGATTGGTGTGCCAGGAGAAGAAACTGGACTTAGGTACTCCTGATCCACCCTGTTGCCACCCCATGTGTCTTTACTTCTCATCCATTCAAAATGGAAAAGAATATAGAGACTTCTTGAGACTTTCTATCTGACATACCAATCTATACTGTCTCCTTGCATGATCTTGCCTGAACTGCATTTAGAATCATTTGTATTAGGAGAAAAAAAACCGACACTCTAATTTGAACAACTTATATCTTTAATATAAATAACAATTATAATAGCATTGGGTTATTGAGGAATTAGCTGATAAATAGTAGCGATAACTGTAAGGACTATAGGAGTAGCACAAATAAGAAAATACTACCCTTAAGGCTGAGATAGAGGATTCAAAAAAGAACGCCTCAGAGCTGATATTCAGACTTTTTTGGAGAGGGCACAGCCATTGCTCACTAAATGGCAGAGAAGTCACTAGGGTGCTGTGCTGATGGAAATGGCACCACCATTCACCCAGTCAACAAAAACCTGAGTGTCATCTTTGATTCCCCTCCTTACCAGCAAGTTCCATCAGTGTGGCTCAGTTGGTTGAGTGTTCTGTGCACCAAGAGGTCACTGGTTCTATTCCCAGTCAGGGCACATGCCTGGATCTGGTGCTCAATCCCCTGTAGGGGTCATATAGGTGGCAGCCAATCGATGCTTCTCCCTCCTTCCTTTCCTCTCTAAAATCAATAAAAAAAATTTTTTTTTAAATGTACATATTCAGTGACACCTTCTCTGACCATGTCATCTAAAGTACATTCCTATTACTGTCTAGCACATCATCCTCTTTATTTCCTTATAGTGTGTTTTCACCAATAGTAATTATTTTACTTATGTCTCTATTCCCTTTCAGATAAGCTCCCTGAGGGCAGAGAATTTGTCTCCATTGTTTACAACTATATCCCAGTGTTTAGAACAGTGCCTGGAAAAGAGGTGCTTATTCAAGGTCTGTCAAATGATCTGCCCAGTATATGAACAGGAGATTTCTAAGGGCATCTTAGTATTACCATGCCCTGTGATTAAAGTCAATGGAAAACTAAAGTCAATTCAGGCAGGATGACTAATGGCCCTTCATGAATGCAAGTTTGGGTCATCCCACCAGATAAAGAGATTAAATGGAAATTACATATGATTTAAGGAGATGCATATGAATGTCAAGTTGATCAGCGGTGTAGTTGTGATGGTTAATTTTATGTGTCAACTTGGTTGGGCCACGTTGCTCAGATACTTGGCCAAACACTATTCTGGAGATTTCTGTAACAGTATTTTGTTTTTTAAAAATCGGTACTGTTCATTTATTGTTATTATTTTTTAATCTTCACCCAAGGATATTTTTCGATTGATTTTTAAATATATATATATATTAAAAAAATTCTTTTTCTTTATTGATTTTAGAGAAAGGAAGGGAGGGAGAGAGAGAGAGAGAACATCGATTGGCCGCCTCCTGCATGCCCCTCCATGGGAACTTGGCCCATAACCTGGGCTTGTGCCCCGACTGGGAATCAAACTCGTGACCTCTTGGTACATGGGTCAGCGCTCAACCACTGAGCCACACTGGCCGGGTCTGTTGATTTTTTTTTTAGGCAGGAACAGAAAGGCCAGAGTGGAGGATAGGAAACAAGGAATAGTGTGGTGTGGTGAGATGGAGAGAGAGAGAGAAAAAAACATCGATGTGAAAGAGACACATGGATTGGTTGCCTCCCACACACCCCCCAACCAGGGCCAGGCTGAACCTGCAACCAAGGTATGTGCCCTTAACAGGGAATCAAACCCAGGACTCTGGTCTGAGGGCTGACACTAAATGCTGAGCCAAACCAGCCAGGGCTGTTAACAGTGTTTTCCGATGAAATTTGCATTCAAATCAGTGGCCTTTGAGTAAAGCAGATTACCTTCCATAATGGGGTGGACCTCATCCAATCAGATGAAAGCCTGCATAGAACAAAAGGCTGACCTCCCAAGCAGGAGAAATTCTGATGGAAGACTGCCTTCAGATTTGATCTTCAACATTGACTTTTTCTGGTGTATCAGCTTCTGCCTTTGGTTGAACTGCAACTCTGTCCTCAGCCTGCTGGCCTCCACCATCAGATTTTGGACTTACCAAGTCTCCAAAATCACGTGACACAATTCTTTAAAAAATATTATCTTCCTATATATATCTACCTATCGTAGAATCTATCAAGCTCTCATATATATATATATATATACATATATATATATATATATACATATATATGCATCCTAGGAAAATATATATCTATAATAAAGTCCAAAGGTAGCATATTACATATTTTGCCACTTTACTAATCTCATTTAACACTATTTTTTGGAGATCTATTTCAGGATATATAGTGCTGCCCCTCATCCCTGCTTTAAATTTGATACTAGTCCATTAAAAGTATGCTCCATAAAAGAACTTTTAAAAATAACTTATGCTGCTTTATGAGATATAAATGCCTCTGACTATCAACAGATTAATAAGCCTTCTCAACTTTCTTGTCCTTCATAAAATAAAGACTACTTTAAAAAATGTAAGATGGAGGCCTTGGGTTTACCTTATTGATTCTATCGATGTTTATAGATTTGGGTCATGGTTGCCCACAATATGATTTCAGCAGGAGAGAATATACTCCTTTGCTTATCTGAATGTGTTTTCCTGGTGTTTGATCCTATGGAAAGTGGCTTAAGTCATATGGTTGCTAAACTGTTTCTCACTTGGGGATTTTGTAATCTGAAAAGCCCTTCTGCCATAACCTCTTGATTTTTTCCCTAAGGCTTTCCCCCCCGAGTTGCTTTATTCAAAGGTGGCCTATATCCACTGAGGCAGAGATGGCCTTTGCCAGTTCTAGCATTACATTGCCCTTAGCAAAAAAGGGGGTTGAGGGAGACTGAACAAATTATAAAGAAAATGGGGCAAACTTACAAATTCAAGAAGCTTAAAGAATTCCAAGGAAGATACATTCAAAGAGACCCACATCAAGACACAGTATATTAAAAATGTTGAAAGTTAGAGACATAGAACCTTGAAAGCAGCAAGAGAGAACTATCTCATAATATACAAAGGATCCCTAATAAGATGATAAACTGACCTCATATCAGAAATTATGGTGGCCAGAAGGCAGTGGGATGACATATTTGAAGTGTTGAAAGAAAACCTGTCAACCCAGAATTCTGTATCTGAAAAATCAAGACATCCTCAGATAAACAAAAGCTATAGATGTGCATTTACTAATAGACCTGCTCTATGAGAAATGCCAAAAGGAATCCTTCAGGCTGAAAAACAAAGGAGACTAGACAATAAGTTGAAACCACATGAAGATATAAAGAACATTGCCCTGATGCTGAGCCCAACAAAGACCTACATGCAAACAAAACTACAGACCAATATCCTACATGAACTGTGCCAGGAAAAAACCTCAAGCAAATACTACACTGAATTTAGCAACATATTAAATGGATTATACACTGTGGCCATGTGGAATATATTCCTGGAATACAAGGATGGCTTAACATATGAAAATTGATCAGTGTTATACACTAAAAGGAGAATAAAGTGGGAAACCTACCTGATCTCCTCACTGATACATAAAAAGACTTCGGCATAATTTAACACCCTTTCATGCTAAAAACACTCAACAAACTAGGAACAGAGGGAAACAACCTCAATATAAGAAAGCCGCATATGAAAAACCCACAGCTAACTATCTTCACTGGTGAAAAACTGAAAGCTTTTCCATTAAGATCAGGAACAAAACAAGGATGCCCATTTTTTCCAATTCTATTCAACACAGTACTGGAAGTCCTAGCCAGAGCAAGTCGACAAGAAAACGAAATAAAAGGCTTTTAGTTTCATTTATGCTCAGGTATTTAAAAAAAACAACGGCTTCTCATTAAGGTCCTTTAACTTGAACACTTTGAAAATCCTAAGATCCGTGAAGGGATGGGATTCATTAGCTTTTCAGGTGGCCTCATACCCTACGGGTTGGCAACAGTCTTCTGGCCCCATGACTCCTCTCCTGCCTCCCATTCCACGTTCCAGGGCCCCACAGCACCTACGGGGCAGTCGCCCTCACGCTATTGCGAGTCTGATCCCAGAAGCAAGGACAGAGGAAAAGACCGAGATCCGCCGGCTCCCGAGCGCTCCAGCGCTAGCCTCCAGGCCGCCGCCCCCTCGCTGCCCTCGGGCAGGTCGACGCTGTCTGTCATCCACGCCACGCCCGGGCCTCGCTCCACCCAGCGGACATTCCAGGGGAACTAGCAAGAGCGTCAGCGAGTCCTGGACCCCGGAAGTGACGTGCGGCGTGCGTGACGCGCGCTCGCGGCGCCGGGGGCGGGGCACGAGGGAGGGTGGGCCGCTGTGAGGGCGGGCTGGGGACTGGCGGAGCCGGGACCTACTCGAGCCGGGAGAGGTGGAGAGCGGCGGTCTCGACGGCGGTGGGTCCGCAGCCGAGGTACTGAATGGCGGGCCGAGGACAGCGCTGCTCTCGGCTCGGGGCAGGGGGCGGCGGCGCCGTCCGGGCGGGGGCTTCTGGGTCATTTGTCCGTGCAGTCCACCCGGCCGGGGCCGTTTCGCTTTGGAGCCCCCGGTCGCCCTCCGTCCCAACCTGGGCTCCGGCATCGCGGTCCGGGCCGGCCCCCTGAATCCTTAGGTGCTCAGCTTGCCCGTGTCAGGCTCTCGTCGCCAAGTTCTCCACGGCCCAGCCCAACTCCGACGGGCAGACGTTTATCATTTCCTGGCCGCCTGCTGGCACCGGTCGTCCCCTGGCGGGATGTCTTTCCTCTGGCCGGCTCCCTCCTCGCTGTCCAGTCCGCGGAGTCCGAAGGGACACCTGTGTGGCGGCCGGTCGGGTCGTGCCCAGGGGCCCCCGGCCATTCCTCTGGTTTGAAGGCTCGGACCCACATCGCAGTCTGGCCTTGGCAGGGAGCCGGGACATCGCGAACCCGCGTCGTCTTGGGAGGGATACGTCCCGGAGCTGGGAGGGTGCTGACTTCGTGGTGCGGAGACTTGAAGACTGGTCCTAACTTTCGCCCCGTGGTTGAGGACCAGGGCTTAGGAGCAGAAGTCCCTGTTTCCAAACCGTCTTGGAGGAGAGCAGAGGTGATGCCCATTACGGAAGTTTAGTGGAGAAGGAGGGAGGGACTGGGCCGCTCTAGGGAGTAGGTCACAGACAGCTCGTGGCGGCTCGGCGCTGGCGACCCAGCCCGGCGGTTGGGAAACGTGTTGGCGGGGCTGGTGGGCTGTGGTTGTCCCTGAGATCCAGTGTGAAAAGCTTAGAGCATCACCTGGGGAGTAGGTTTTATTCTTCCTTTTCTCTCTTTTTCTTTCTTTTCTTTTCTCTCTCTTTTTTTTTTGAGATTAAAAAAATAGCTTTACTTTTTTCTGTAAACATAAAACTGCTTAAAGTCTATTAATTAAAATAGTGCATCAAGAAAGCTTGAGAAAGTGCGAGAAGATTGTATCGTTAGTCCATTTAGTAAATAATGGTGTTAAATTACTGGTTCTTGTGTGGAATATTAAGAAGTGTTCAGGATTTGAATTTTTACTGACCTTCAAAGCAATCATGCTTCTTATCTCTAGAAGTTAGCTAGTTAGTTTAGGAGGGAGGGAGAGAAAGAGGGAGGGCGGGGAAGAGAGAGAAAGAGAGAGAAGATACTTTGAATATAAGGTAGTAAGTAGTGTGAGCTAAGATAGAGCACCCTAAGTGGCCCCCCTCACCCGGAGGGACTGCAGGATGTGGAGGGTGGAGACAGGTAGAGGGGAATACTTTTCTGGAAGTAGTATCCTGAAGAATGAGCAATATTGAACTCAGGGCTGGGGATAGGGTGGGGCAGGGGCTTCCCCCCCCCCCCAAATAAACAAAAGAATGAGCAATATTCAGAGTGGGGTGGGAATTTTAGGAGTAGGTGGGAATGTGGGGTGGGGCAACTAATGGAGAAGAGACCAATACCTACTTGGAGGTGGTTTTTGAAAAGTGAGCAAGTTTAGGGCAGAGGGTGGTAGCAGATAGGGACAGAAATGCTAGGGCTTGGCCTTTTATCTGATGACAGAACCTGGGAAGGGTTTTAGGGAGGGTTGTTGCGAGGTTAAAAAGGAATTTATGTAGATCTTAACACACAGGCTGCTATGTGCCTGAGGAGGATTGTGCCCAATAGTGTTTGTTTGCTATCTTTCTTGCTCATTAAATGTTTGAATTGTATTGTATATTCATGTACTAATTTTTCTTTGTGTATATGTGACTGACCCTGCTTATTTTTAAGCTTCTATAAACAGAAATTCTGCTTTTTTTTTTTTTTTTATCCTCACCCGAGGATATTTTCCATTTTTTGTACAGATAAGTGGGAGGAGAGAGAGGAAGGAGAGAGAGAGAGAAACATCGACGTGAAGGGACACATCGAGTGGCTGCTACCCGCACAACCAACCAGGGCCGGGGACAAACTGCAACCGAAGTACGTGCCCTTAGCGGGAACCGAACCCGGGTCTCTCCGGACCGCAGGCCGACGCTCTAACCGCTGAGCCAAACTGGCCAGGGCAGAAATTCTGCTTTTTACCTCTTTGCATTCTGATCCAAGTTGGGCATTCACAAGTGTTACATGACTACCTGTTAACTTGATGAGAATTCATTGATTTCTGATGTTCTTTTTCATTGAAAAAATATTCAGTCAGTACTTAATATACAGAAGAACTAAGATCCTATTTGATTTACTCTGTCAGTCTTTGGCTACAGACATAGAATTTCATTCTGGACAGTATGAGTTTAACTTTGGCACATGTGTTTTTATTGATTGCAAAGTAAACATCTCCAGCAGAGATGATCCATTCCTAAAATATAGGCAATATTTGTGTAATATAATACCTATCTATTCTGTGACTCAGAATAGAAATGCTATTTAATGGCTTCTTAACCCATAAATAAAGTTAACATGCTAAAAAAACAAGTTTCACAATAGAGGCCAAACATTTTGAAAGTCTTATTAAATGCTCATTTTTTTCATAAAGCATTGCAGAAGCATTATGTTTCATATAACTGAAATACCTTGATATAAGTTAGACTATTATTGAATAAACACTTAGGAGAAACAACAATTGACTTATTTTTATCCTACTTAACATTATGTAACTCATATCTTTTTGATATTTTGGTAAGGCTAAAATGCTTTCAGACAAGGCTGCACTTATGGTATTGCTTTCAAATAATCCTGGTTTTGATGAAGTTGCTGTTGGGCTAGAGAGTGTGTTTTTTATTATATAGTAGAACATTTTTCATGTTTCTAGTAGCTGAAGAACTGTACTTATAATCAGTTAATTAGATACATATGTAAATCAAGAGATGATCAGAATGACAAGTATGAATTCCTTCATGGGTGTGTTTTTACACACTAAGTGAGTCTTAGCTTTTTATTTTCTTTAAATGACAGCAAGGAGATTGCTGACATCTCTGAAGCAGACATATTCCAAGCGCCTTTAGGCCTCTAAGTTCTGTGCTGTCTCACATTAAGGAATGGTTGACAGTATCCTCTATGCTAGGCACAGGGCAACTCGGAAGGAGTTGGACAGAATAAATATGAATAATTTTTGAAGCAAGTCTAGTCAGTTCCCATTTAGAATAAATACTCAATTGTAATTACATTTATGTTAATTTGGTCTGTATTTAAAAAAAAAAAATGACTGGGGGATTTTTACACAGGAATATATTTATAATTTTCTCTGTGCCCCAAAGTTAAAAATACATAATGAAAGTGTTTTATTTTTGTATTTCCTCTATTAGAATTTCCTAAGTTTAGTTATAATATTTTCTAAAACATTTTCTTTTGGAGCACAAAAAAGATAATGCCTTTAGAAAATGAACTTACAAAATGTTTATTAATTACCTGGTCGGTGTGGCTCAGTGGATTGAGAGGTCCCAGTTCGATTCCTGGTCAGGGCACATGCCTGGGTTGTGGCTGGATTCCCAGTCAGGGGCTTGCAGGAGGCAACTGATTGGTGTTTCTTTCTCACATTGATGTTTCTATCTCTCCCTTCCTCTCTCTAAAAGATCAATAGACATATTTTAAAAAAATGTTTATTAATGGAAGAAAATATTTTATTGTGCTATAATGTTTTTTAAGTGAAGCATATCATTTATATCACATCTTGTTCCAGAAAGGATTCGTAATGACTTGCAAAGATACATACGACATATTGTTAGTAACATATGGAAATAAGGGGTGATGAAGTCAGGACTGAGAGAGAAAACTTAAGATGGAAACAGGAATAAGATCTGAACTCTGAATGTGGACTGAAATCATAAATATTTGTTAGAGGATTACAAACTTGACTCTGTTTTTTAGTAGCCAGTTCAGAGAGAAATACAGGGTGGGCAAAAGTAGGTTTATAGTTGTTCATATGGAAAATAATAAATAATAATGGAAGAATAAACTGTTTGGCATACTCACAACTGTAAACTTACCTTTGCCCCACCCTGTATAATCAGTTACGGTTCAGTGACCATAAGAGAAAAAAAACAATTTCTTCCTTCGGATTCCCAAATACTCTGAATTGAAAATCTCCATCTTTAAGTTAATGCAGCATGCATTTCTAGGGACTTTGCTGTGTTTTACTTTGTTTTTTAGTAAAATTCCTCATGTCTCATAGTATAGGTTGATGACATAACCTCAAAACATAGTTTAGTAAAAGCAGTTCCAGTGCTTGCAAAATAATATGATCTAAGTACTTAAGATCTCTAGACTGATTTAAGTTAAGGACCTGTTTTAGATTATCTAGGTGAGTAGATGGGGATCCAACATTCTTCAGGTTACCTTCCATAAATATCTTGTTTCTCAGTGGAGCTTTTGTTAAGAAGTAATCAGCAGTGGGGTTTCAGTTTGTGCTTCCTGACAGGTTTTTTTAGTACACTACTTTTTATGTTGTTGGGTAAGAGCCATATTTTTAGCAGGCATGCTTTATCACGGGGGGGGGGGGGGGGGGGGGGGGGGGGGGGGGGGGGAGAAGGTATGAAGATAGAGGAGCCTGACAAGGACAAATATTGAAATGAGAATTACTTAACCCCCACACAAAGATGGGCTGAGGGAAATACCAAACAGCAGACCTGAAAGTAAGTCTTTTCTTTTCTGAAAGTAAGTTTGGTGTGTTAGCTCTGGCACAGACTACAATGACTTGAAAGTCCCTGAATATAATAAATAATTAATTAATATGTTATTTTTAAAAAATTGATTTTAGAGACAGAGGAAGGGAGAGGGAGAGAGAGCTAGAAACATGGAGGATAGAGAAGCATCGATTGGCTGCCTCCTGCATGCCCCCTACTGTGGATCAAGCCTGAAACCTGGGTATGTGCCCTTGACTGGGAATAGAACCAGTGACCTCTTGGTGCATGAGATGATGCTCAATCCATTGAGCCACACTGGCCGGGCATATACTTTATTTATATATTTATTTTTTTATTCTCACTCGAGG